ATCAGGATGGATGGTGAAGAGATTGAGATTGTTCACAGGTTTAGTTTGCTTGGCTCCACAGTCAACTGTCTTGGCACCAGTAGCCAGGAAATTAAAAGGTGTATTGCGATGGGAAAGTCTGCTGTTAGGGACCTCTCCAAAGTACTGAAGAGCAATAGTGTCTCTCTGGAGACTAACGTGCATCTGATACAGGCCATGGTCTTTGCAACCACTTGTTATCAATCAGAGAGCTGGACAATGACCAAAGAGGATAAAAGGAGAATTGATGCCTTTGAGCGGTGGTGCTGGAGAAGAGCATTGAGAGTACCGTGGACTGCTAGGAAAACAATCAGATTCATCCTGGAAAGGGTTAAACCGTGCAGTTCCTTGGAGGCCAGGATTCTGAGGCTCTGTTAGACATGTTGTGAGGAGAGACCAGTCCTTGGAGAAGGACATCATCCTTGGTAGGGTGGAGGGACAGCACAGGAAGGGAAGGCCCTCTATGAGGTGGACTGATTCAGTGACTGGGGTAATCAGGATGGGAGTGTCAGAGACAGTGCAATTGGCACAGGACAGAGCAGAGTTTAGGGCTTTTGAACATAGGGTCGCTTTGAGTCGCAAGTGATTCAATGGCACATAACAACAACAACAACAACAACAAGAAGTCATTATTTAATGTAGTACTAAAAGGAGTCCTGGTGGTCTAGTGGTAAGAAGCTGCACTACAATTCCAAAGGCACATGGTTCAAATCCACCAGCTGCTCCAGAGGAGAAAAATGGTCAATCTCCTCCTATGAGATATATTGCCTCTGAAAACCCATGGGAGAGTCAGCTATGAGTTGGTTTCGATACAAAACAATAATCACAATAGTCTGAAAAGGAGCCCTGGGTGGTTCAAATAGTTAAGAACCCAACTACTAATTGAAAAGTTGGCAGTTCAAAATCATTCAGAGGCCCCCTCAGAAGACAAGCTTTCCACAATATCATGGCCACTGAAAACCTTAGGGAGTGCAGTTCTCTTCTGTGTCCATGAAGTTGTCATGAGTCAGAATCAACTGGATGACAGCTAACAACACACACTGTGGGTTGCATAAGGGGGCGAGCCGAGAGCTTCATAATCTTCTGTTGTTGTTAGGTGCTGTTAGGTTGACCGTGACTCATGGTTACCTCATGAAGAACAGATCTGAAACTTGTCCCATCCTGTGCCATCCTCACTCTCTGATGTGCTCGAGCCCACTGTGTCAGTCACTGTGCCCATCTGTATTATTAAGTGTCTCCCTTTCGTTCTCTGACCCTCCATTCTTCCAGCCTGACATCTTGTTCCAAGGACTGGGCCCTCCTGACAAGCTGTCCAAAGCATGGGAGGCAGGTTCACCATCCTGACCTCTAAGGAGCACCCTGGGGGCACTTCCTTCTCGGCAGATTTGTTTGCTCTTTTGGCGTCCATGGAACCTTCCATGGGCTTCCTGAACGCCAATATTCAAAGATATCACTAATTTTTCTGTCATCCTTATTCACTGCCCAACATTCAGATGCATAGGGGAAAACTGGAAATACCATGGCTGTGAGCAGGTACATTTTAGTCTTTATACTGCTAATTTTGCTCTGTAGCACTTTGGAGAGTTCTCTGACAGATTTTCCCAATGCAATGTCTTTTGAGTTTTGTAATTTCAAACACCATTTATTTACATATTCAGCATCCTGAAAACACACACACACACACACACACACACACACACACACACACACACACACAGAGGCAATTAATCGCACAGGAATAGACTGCCCATCCTTCTCCCGCAGAGCAGCTGGTGGCCTCATACTGCATGACTTCTGGATTGTAGTACAGCTTCTTGTCATTAGGCCACCAGATATAGGTATAGAGATAGATGGAGATAGATATATAAATATAGAGATAGATATAGGAATATAGATAAGAGATAGATGATAGAGATATCTTTATCTTTCTATGTATATTTGTGAATAAAAACATCATTTTGAATTTGTCTATAAATTACATTCATTTTTAATCATTATTTTAGAGTATTCAATAATGTGAAGCATTTATTAAACGTTTAAGTAAAATTTGCCTCTTTTTAAAAGATTATTCTCTGTTTAGACAGAAGAGAATCAGCTATCATTTAATTGTTACTGTGGTTTTTAATAATTTTTAATTTCTTGACTATTATTAACATGGGTGTTGATTGTGGATCCAAGTAAAATGAAATTGCTGACAAGGTCAATCTTTTCTCCATCATAATCTTTTACATGGTCTTCTACACTAACAGAGAAATTCCTCTAGTAATGAACTACAGAAATGACCCCTGAAAACTATAGTCTTAGGGAACTCTGGTGGCACAGGGGTAAGGAGTTGCACTGCCAACACAAAGGCATAGAGTTCTAATCCACCAGCTGCTCCTCAGAAGAAAGACAGACAATCCTCCTGTATGATTTATTGCTTCTAAGTGATTTATTGCTTCTAAGAACCCACTGGAGGGTCAGATCAGACTGGATGGCGCATAACAACACCAAATCATTTAGATCACATTATTCCTAAGGACAGTCCCTGTTTGGTGTCATTCTTTGTTCTCATCCGCTAACCAAAAGGTTGGCATTCAGAAGTGCCACGAAACAAAGGTCTGGCTGTCTCCTTCCATACAGATTACAGACAAGAAAACCCTGTGCAGCAGTTCTGCTCTGTAACACACGTGGTCACAATGAGTTGGATGGACCTGACTGGACAGCAATGTGCTTGTTTTCCTGTGGTATTTCTAAGGAAGAGTGTGCCCATGTGTCTGCAAAGCAATGTGCACGGCTGAATTGGAGGCTGCCTGTATTGGACTTCTGCTGGCCCCAGTGACTGCCTGAACAGATTCTAAAACAAAGGGAAAGTACACAGCTGTGAGCAGTAAAGATCAAGAACCGCTGAGCTAAATGTTCACATGAATGTGGTTTTATCCAATCTCAAGAATCAAAAGGGCTGTGTTGTAGAATGGCTGGATGCTATAACTAAACACCCTGACCTACTTGTAAAGAAGAGTTCTAATTTTGGGACTCTCAGCTCCTGTGGAGGGCATATAGCAAAATCCTTTGGAGAGAAATGTCAGAACAAATGCAACTTGGTATAAAACCTGAATCAAACAAATGGTTTCCCCATGAATAGAAGGAATGTACAGTGATCAATCTCTGAAATAATTTTGACATATTCCTCAAATGCAAAGCTTTAAGGGAATACTAAAATCACCCCTAAAGGCCACCAAACAATAGCAACAACAGAAAATTTAAAAACAATCACTGTTGATCAATTCTGGCTTGCAGTAAGTGAACCACTCCATAAAGCTTTCCTGGTGGCAGTTCTTATGGGAGACAGCAGATTGCCAGGCCTTCCTTCTGTGAGACCACTGGGTATATGTGAACTGCCAACCTGTAGGTTAATATTGTTGTTGTATACTATCGAGTCAGAACCAACACAAACCTGATCCTCGGGCAAGTTTTCAGAGGCAGTAATCACACAAGCGGAGATTGCTCAAAAGTCAAGAACAAACTTTCTGTGCCACCCAGAGGATTTACTAGTTGGGGAAAAACAAAATTCTGCTGCTCTTGAACTATTCTTTAGAAAAATTAAAACTCCAACCTCTTCTGTGACAGAATCATTTCTGATATGATAAGGGCTAAAAGTAATGACGTTAGGCTGCATTTTTATGTTATTCAAAAGCTAGCAATCTCAAAGTAAATAAATCAACATTTCCCTAGACATTTTCTCCCTTTTTGCCATCTTTTCAATTATTAATCTGAGTGGAAGTTTAGAAAGCAAATTGGTTGTGCATTCCACCATTTACACACATTCTGTTTTATATCAAGTACAATACCCACGGTGTAATCACACACTTCTTACTCCCTCCCTGTAATACTCACTTCTACTAATCCTTAGGGCCTACCTCTTCCTGCTATCTGAGTTTTCTCCTTGGGCAAACACTGCTCTTTTGACCTGGGTTGGTTATTCTAGGGAGAGATGGCTCCCCTGGGGTTACTGGTCACCTTATTGGCCCGGCTCTTATTTGGCTGAAAAGTCACAGGGGTCAGTGTTAATCCAAGTTCAAAGTATAACCAGGGGTGACAGTTTGGGGAGCAGGGGGCTGTCCGACCAGTCTTTATAGGGAGCTTTGTGGATTAGCGGTAAGGAATTGTGCTGCCAACGCAAAGGTTTGTGGTTCAAATCTACCAGCTTTGTCACAGAAAAAAGATGGGCAATGAACTCCAATGTGATTTACTACCTTTGAAAACCCACTGGAGGTGCAGCTATGGATCGTTTCTGACTTGACTGTAGTCTTTATTAGATCAGAAAGCCTGGAGTTTTAAAAAAAAATTTTGTACTTACATCTTCCTCCTCCCTACCCAGAATGGCAAAATTATTGTAACTACTTAACTCTGATATTAGATTTTTATATTGGACATACTCATCAATTTTCTTTTTCTAAAAAATATTATCTTAAGTCTTTTGTCATTTTTGAGCCAAATGTACAGGCTACAATTGATTATAATATATTATCCTCTAAAAAAAAACTGAGAAGCCATAGAAAACTGAGAGTAATTATACAAACCCAATCTTTATCCCAATAATGTTTTTTTTTTAAATTTTTTTTTTATTTATTATTTTGTGTGTGTGTACCGTCAAATCAGATCTGACTGGTACAGGAGGATATTGCATCTCCTTCTCCGGCAGAGCATCTGGTGGATTCGAACCGTGTTCCTCTGGGATTGCAGTGCAGCTTCTTGTCACTAGGCCACCAGAGCTCCCCTTATCCCAATAATGTTTTGAAAAATTTATTAAGGAAAAAGCTCCATCCTATAAGTCATAAAACGATTACTTCTTTGCATGTAAATCAAAGTTGTTTTATGAGTCAAGGTAAGCATTCTCATTAACTGTAAATCTTTCTGATAAGCATGCGCGTGCACACAGACACAAATAGACACACATACACACAAACACTCATTCTCTCACTTGACACACACTCTCTCACCTGTTTCGGGGCCTCACTCTTCATGAGACAGCCGACTTTACTGACAATACACTGCTGGAGCTGGGCCCATGAAATGCTTCTATCTTCCCTTATCAGGAAAGGTGGCCCAAATCTGAAAACCCAAAGAAAACATCTTTTTTTCAGTAAAGAAAAAACTAAAAACATCCAACAATCCAAGCACTCTCTCAGCTCTTGGGTTCTCCTCAAATAGGTAACAGAAGTGTTAAACACCAAACACAGGTTGAGTACACAGTCGGTGCTCAAAGTAATAATTGCCATCATAGATCCAGCTCACACAGTCCTCATGACAAATAGAGGCCAGTTGCCATTAAGTGATTCTGACCCCATATGTGCTGAGTAGAACCGCCCTGTGGGGTCTCCAAAGCTGGAAACAGATCATGAGGCTCGTCTTCCAAGGTGTCTTTGTTGTATTCAAGTCGTCCATTATGGTCTACAAGCTCTACTGAAACTACTTTAGCAACTAACTGCACAAAAGCGAGAAAATGGTATCTAGGTGTGAGGTGCAGTGGTAGGGAGCTACACACAAGGGTCCCACGTGGAAGGCAAACATTCTACCACTGGACCACCACTGCCCTCACTTCAGAACAGATAATTCGTGTTTTCAAATCAGAATCACCCAAGCACATGGAACAAATCTCAATTACTGCTATTTTTTAAAAAATCAATGAATCACAAGAGTGAAGCTAAACCTACCTGGTAGCCTGCTGCCCCGAACCCAGCAAGTTGCAGAAGAGAATGAGCACCTTGTTCGCCTGCTGGTCCTCGCGGGCTGCCAAGCGTGGGGAGACAAGCAGACCAGATGGGTGAGCTGGAAGAGAGAGGACTGCCTTTGTATTCCTAAAGGATCTGTTCATGTGTCAGAGCTGAGCTTCTCTGGACCCTCTTTCTCTGTGGGTGTCTATGACCATCAGGGACTACAATGAAGGCCTTCAGGAGAGAGATGAAAAAGCTAGGTCATCTGGCATACACCAATCTAGTGGAGAATCGGCAGCTGTGTTCAGCCAGTCTTTTTACCTCACCCACTCAATGGTGTCAGAACAGGTTCATACCTGACCCTTCAGTGGGTTTCCAGAGGCTGCACGTAAATCACAGGAAAGAACATTGTCCATCTTTCTCCTTCAGAGCAGCTGGTAGCCTTTGAGTTGGCAGTGCAACTCCTTACCACAAGAGGCCCTTTACACAGTAATGGCAGGGATGTAGTTGATACTTTTCAAAGTCCATCTAATAAACACTCCACAAGATACTGCTTGCTTCTTTGCCTTGGCCAGAGAGCCCCAGCACAGTCATCACTTAGAAAGCCCCCACAGGAAGTGCTCGGAAGATGAGGCTCCTCCACTGACGTAGAGGAAATGGACCACCCTCAAGGCCCCATCAGTTCTAATACTTGGCCTTTAAGGCAAAAGTGTATCACCTGTGATGGAAATGCAGTTACAACATAATCAAGGTCAATGCTTTACCACAGATTCCACGTCCTTTTCGACTTGTACAAACTGAAGACCTGCAGTTCTGATGACCTGTTACTTAGAGAGTTGAGGAGAGGGGTGAGCACATCGTTTTCATCTGGGGAATTTGGTCACTGGCACAGGATTCTTTAAACAGTTCTCTTTGAGTGGTTAAATTGGTCCAAAATGCAAAGGCTTCAGGAAGGAAGGCTATCAGAAAGGGACCATTTTAGTTAATCTAAAGTTTTAGGAAAGTACCCATTTAGGTGAACTGCTAGCAAAAAGCCATTTAAATCTCACTTTCACATCTACTGCTCAAACATCAGGGAGCTCTGGTGGCACGATCCATAGGGAGTTCTGAGCCTCTCTAGTGGTTCAAATCCACCATTCGCTTCTAGGGGGGAAGCTGGGCAACTTTCTCCATTCTATTTCAAGCCTCAGAAACCCAATTCAGCTCTGAGTGGGTTCCAAGTCAATGGCAATGAGCTGAGTTCACTTCAAAGCACAGACTGTGAGGTTCAAGAGCCCTGAGACAGACACTGCCCCCTGAATGTGAACCTTGGACTGTAGTGCCCAGGATCAGCAGCATCAGCATCACCTGGCAGCCTGCCAGACACACAAGTGTTTACCAAATAGGAAATTGTGGACAGAACAGTTAATGTGCTTTAAGAAGACATCCAGGTAATTCTGAGACTCTTGGAGATCTAAGAATCCTTGTATTAGCTGCATAAGTTTTACTCAAGAATGAAACAGTTGGCCTTCTCCTGGGAATGTGCATGTCCACCCCAGAAATAGGGGTGACCAATCAGACGGATCAACTGGCAATGACGTCAAATCCTCAAAGTTACAGTGGCTGAGTAGTGAGATGCAGGTGATTTGAATCCACCAGCTGTTCTGTGGAGGAAGGCAGTCTCCTCCTGTGCAATTTACAGCCTCTGGAACCTCACTGGAAGGTCAGCTTCGAGTCAGTTCCAACTTAACAGTACATAACAACCAACCCTCTAGATATACTGAATCAGAACCTGTATTTTAGTAAGATTCCCCCTGATCCAGTGTATCTGGGGTAGAAATCCAAATTCTCAGGAAGAGGTCAAACTAGAAAAAAGCAGTTGAAAGCCCGGATCTTAATACAACCATCTGTACAAGCCTAAATATCAGAGAGGGAAAGTCATGATGGGTCAAGAAATAGGACTACATGTCTTATCCCTTAGCACCTAGAGAATACTTTCTATAGATATTTTCATGTCTGTAACTCAAAAGTAAAATATTTAACTAGAATGATGAAAGGATTGTTGTACCTGAGCGCTTCCCCTGGCCGGGTGGTGAAGGAGCATGAAACGCATACACATTATCTCCCTCTGCAATGGTGGTCAAATCTTCTTCATCAAAGAAGGACCGATGGAATCCACTGGGCTGCAGTTCAACCAAGATCACCTGGAATGAGGAGGATATTTCCCTTGTAATTTCTCAAAGGAAAAACCCAAACATGATTACCAGCCTTCGGGCCCCTTTGGCCTTTCTCTCCCTGTGACTAAGGACTTGCTTATTCTTAGTTAAGGAAACACGGCAGGTACAACAATTAGGCTGATCAAAGGCATGCCAACTGTGATGGGGGCATAGCCCCAAAGTTCCTGGTGGTCAGGAGGAAAAAGAAGTTGTGCTCATTGTTAATAAGTGAAATAAACTTGCCAGTTAAAGAAAACAAACTATCAAAATAGATTTTAGGTTCCAGCCAAATAGCTCCCAAAACAAACCTATGTTGTCATTGTTTTTATTTACCACAGAATATATTAACTTAGGTTGGAGATGACACCGCATGTGCACAGCAAGAACTGATCCTTTTTAGAAGCAAATCGCCAGAGGCACCTCTAGGTGGATTTGAACCACCAGCGTTCTGGCTAGCTGTCAAGAGTTTAATGATCACAGTTTTGTGGAAAACTTCAAAAAGGAGCAAGTATCTAGAAATAACTCTTTTTTTTGTCCAGTAGTTTATTTACAAAATTCTAATACAAATATGAACAAATTCTTTCAATTTCCCTCACTCCCCCACCCATCAAATTATACAACCCTATGATTAATCCCCTCTCGCCCTGCACATTCACATCCCTCTGCTTCCAGCCTCTCCCACCCCTCCTGGATCCTTATATTCATTCTACAGTAATGGTCTGTCTTATACAATATTTATCCTTTTGGGACTGAGTTCACTCAGAATAATGCTCTCCAGTCCCTCCCAAGTTAGGTAATAATTTACAAAGTTCTTGCTCCTGCATGCTGCATAGTACTTTACTGTGTGAATGTACCATAATTTTGCAATCCATTCATTTGTGCTTGATCATTTGGGCTGGTTCCATGTTCCTGCCATGGTGAATAATGCTGCTATGAACACTGGTGTACAAATCTCAGTTTGTCCCTCAGTTCTCACATTCGCAGGGTATATTCCAAGTAGTGGAATAGCTGGGTCATATGGAATTTCTATGTTCAGCTTTTTGAGGAAGCACCAAACTGCCTTCCAGAATGGTTGCACCATTTTACAATTCCACCAATAGTGTATTAAAGTTCCTTTCTCGCCCCATCCTCTCCAACATCTATTACTTGCTGCCCTGTTAAACTTTGCCACTCTTACTGGAGTGAGATGGTACGTCATTGTGGTTTTGATTTGCATCTCTCTTACTGCCAATGACTTGGAGCATTTTAGAAATAACTCTTCTAACTCACATTTGTTTCAAGTCTAGCATCTATTTATCATGTCTTTAATCCATCAGCATTTACTAATTTTGTCAATATATTGTTTTTTAGACATGTTCTTAAATGGATAATTTTAATTGTACAACTACTTTCTAAGCTTGCAATCATTGCATTCCTTATGTGTGTAAATTTAGCCTTAATAAAGGATTCTTAACAAAAATTTAAAGGCTACCACAAAAGAACAGTTTAATGGTTAACCCTTTGTGCTACCCAGGAACCCCAACAAATACTGACCTCCGCCAAGTCCGTTCTATTCAGAGATGTCTCATTGGGTTTCTGAGGCTGTAAATCTTAAGAGATGTACTGGCGACAGCCTCCCTCTCTCCCTCTAGAGCATCTGGTAGATTTGACTCCCAGCATTTCCATTATCAACCTATTACAGTATGCCCTATGCCACCGGGACTCGTTACCAAACACCTGCACATCTCAAATTCCTGCATGTCTTACTCTGTTGCTTAAATGTGACATCTCTGGATGCCTTCATTTTAATCTTTTCTGACTGCCGTTTCCCCCCAAGTTCTCTCCCCTCATGTCCCACTTCCCCTCAGATGGACCCTGTAGAATGCCTATCCATAGCAATGCAGGCAGTCCTCAGGCTATAAATAGATCCATCCCAAAGTGTGTCCTAAAGTCAAATTTGTCAGTAAATCAAAACAGGTGCACATTAGCCCTATGTTAGCTCAAAAAAGCTCAAAGACTTTCTCACGATTTAAAAGATGCATCGGCAGCAAAGGTAGGTGGCTGTGATGATTGTTACAGTGAGGCAGTGGCTCAGTCACCTCAAAAGATGGTGAATTTACATAATATGAAAGAGCAAGAACGTGGTTAAAGACTGTATGTGTATATAAATGTTTCCCCCACTTGATCTACATAAAAATTCTAGGAGCCGATACTAGAGATGAGAGCAGTGGACTGAGAGTACAGGAAGGGTCTGCTGAGATGAGGGACATCCTGCAGAGCTGTGGTGGTTACACAGGTGACAATTCAGCAAATTTTAACTTTAAGATCCGCTAAATTTATTTGTATGTTATATCATAACAAAAAGGTTAAAATATTCTTTTTTTTTAAAGTTGTTGGGTGCTGTCAGATCAGATCTGACAGACACAGGAGGAGAATGCCCTTCCTTCTCCAGTGGAGCAACTAGTGGATTCGAACAGCACGGCTTCAGGATTGCAGCACAGAACTTGCCACCAGAGCTCCCTTAAAATATTTGTTTTTAACTTAATAACAATTCATGAAATAGGTAATGAGATAGTGACTATTCCCATTTTTCAGGTAAACAAAAGAAGATTGATTACCTTGTCAAGGTTAGAAAGCTGTAAGTGATTGAGTCACAATTAGGGCCTTATTCAGGGACTCTCTGCTCCTGTTATTGTCGTTACAAGTGCTTTCAAGTCACTTGTAACTCATAATGGCCCTATGTACATCTCTGAACCTTGCTCTATCCTTGTTTCTGACACACCTACCCTATTACCCGAGTTACTGAGTCAATTCATCTCATTGAGGGTCTTCCTCTTTTGCACTGACCCTCCACAAGCATGATTCTGCTCTCCAAGGACTGGTTCCTTCTTGCAACATGCCCAAAATATGTCAGACAGAGCTTCAGAATCCTTGCCTTCAAGGAGTAGCCTGGTTTTACCCTCTCTAGGTTGAACCTGTTTGTTTTCCTAGCAGTTGAGGAGTATATTCAATACTCTTTTCCATTACCGCAACTCAAAGGCATCAATTCTTCTTCTATCATCCTTAGTCATTATTTAGCTTTCTAATGCATAGTAACTGGTCTGTGCGTTGCTGTACAGAGGTAACTCGTGGTTGCTGTGATGCTGAAGACTGTGACAGTGATGTGCCAATTGTGGTAACGGGTACCCATGGTGGACAGTGTTGGCTGGAGCTTCCTGACTAAATTAAGCCTGGAAGCAGGAGCAGCATCCACTTCCGAAATGGCTTGCCTCCGGAAACTCTATGTATGAACAGTACTCAGGCTGTTCGTGCATAGGGTCGCTATGAGTCATCTACGACTCGACGGCATCAAACAATAACAACAATGCATAGCAAGTAAATACAAAGACCAGCAGATTTTCCCAAGGCAATTAATCTTTTGATTTCCTGGCTGCTGGTACCAAGAGTGTTCATTGTGGAGCCAAGCAAATTGAAGCTGTAAATAATTTCGATTTCTTCACCATCTATCATCATGCTGCCAGCTGGGCCGGTGGTGAGAATCTTTGTTTTCTTGATGCTGATCCACACTGAAAGTTGCAGTCCTTGACCTTCTGCAGCAAATGCCTCAGGTCCTCCTCAGTTTCAACAAACAAGGTTGTGTCATCTGCACAACGCAGGTTATGGATGAGTCTTCCTCCAATTCTGATTTCATATTCCTCCTTACAGTGCCCAACGGCCCAAATGATCTGTTCTGCATATAGACAGAAAAGGTATGGAGAAAGGATGCAAAGCTGGTGTACACCTTTCCTGATTTTGAACCAAGTATTTCCTTGCTCTGTTCTGACGACTGCCTCCAGATATAGGTTTCACATCAGCACAATAAAGTGTTCAGGGATTCCCATTCTTCTCAGAGTTAGCCACAGTTGTGATCCACACAGTAAAATGCCTTTTCATAGTCAATGAAACATAGATAGACATTCCTCTTGTACTCTCTGCTTTGAGCCCACATCCATCTAACATTAGCTATAATATTCCTAGTACCATGGCCTCCTAGGACAGGGCTTTTCACTACCCTTTCCCCAACCACAGTTCCATCTTCCAAAGTCATGGTGAATTCACCTTGTTACCAAAGCCCCTTAAAAAGCAAAACAGTGGAGCCCATTTACCTTTACCCAAGTCTCTTCTCTCATGCCGAATCTGCTCAGAAATGTCTCATAATTCACTCAACCTCCCTTCAGCAGCCTGGTCTATTTTCTCAAGAGTGAAAATACAGACTAGTAGCTCAGACTCTGCCAACCACCTACAGACAAATTCTACCTCAGGTACTGACTGAGGCATTTACCCCTGACACTAACTGGGGCACTTATTCTTGGTACTGACTGAGGTAGGGAGTTGCCTATATTGTTGTTGTTGATAGGTGTGGTCACCCCGAGCTACTTCTAGGAAAATAGGCCATTAATGGAAGGAAAGAAGAGTGAAGCAGGAGGAGCTGCTACGGGAACCGACCTTGGGCAAGTCACTTACACTCAGGGCAAGTCACTTACTGCTCAGTGCCTCTCCTGCCCTCACTGGTGAAGGAGAGAACTGGAATATCTATCTCACAAGAAGGGTATGAGGGTTCAAATGCCTCAGACTATAAATTTCAAAGAATGGTTACCAACAGTATTAAGGGTTAGATATTATTAGAATGATTCCACTCGTGCTCTTCATCACCTCCTTGGAAGACAAACGTGTCCGTTTCTGGTCATTCTGTGTAATGCAAGAAGAAAGCAAGACCCTGTCATCACACACCACAGATGCTAACCACAGAGACCCAGGAGTTACATTGGGCTCACCTGGGGCTCACACATTTGCATAAGAGGCTAGAGGCCCGTCCCTCAATATCCCACACCCAGTGACCTGTCCCCAGGAAGGGCAACTTCACCGCACCTCGTCTGCAGGGACGCTGCCTTCCTCTGCCACCATCTTCCTCAGGGCAGCCACTGTACCCAGAATTGGCACGGCCAGACCAACCCGCAGGAACCGCTGGCTCTTGGATGGAAAGACCAAGATGACACTCAAGAATCTGTAAAATAGGAAGAGGGCCACATCCTTAAACGACTGACATCACTGTCATGAAACCACCATCACCTGCACTGGGTCAAGTCACTGACACTGTATCTAGATTAGCACCTCTCTGTTTCCTTGTTGAGTCCCTGCACCCCAGATCCACCATCACCAGGTGGCAGTAGAGAGCCAAATTTACCAGGTCTCAGCTGAACAAGCTTTACTTTTTTAAAAAAACAAAACACACCACAACAAGATAAAGGTATATAATCCAATTGAAAAATGGGCACAGCATATGAACAGACACTTCACCAAAGAAGACACTCAGATGGCTAACAAGCACATGAAGAAATGTTCAAAATCCCTAGCTCTAAGAGAGGTGCAAATCAAAACAACTATATCATCTCACCCCAGTCAAAATTTATTCACTGTTGGTGGGAGTGTAAAATGGTGCAACCACTGTGGAAGGCGGCATGGCGCTTTCTCAAAAAGTTGCAAATAGAAATACCATTTGACCCAGCAATTCCACTACTGGGAATATACTTCAAAGAGACCATAACTGACATCCAAGCAGATATATGCACATCCATGTTTATTGCGGCTTTGTTCACAATAGCAAGGAGTTGGAAACAACCCAGATGCCCATCAACAAACAAATGAATAGAGAAGCTGTGGTATATTCACACAATGGAATACTACGCTGCATTGAAAAACAAGGAACTCATGCAATATTATTCAAAATGGGTGACCCTGGAGGACATATGCTCAGTCACAAAAGGACAAATATTGCATGGTGGCACTGTTGTAAAACAGGACTGACATTGGGGTTCAGGGGTCTGAGAAAGGTTAGATAATGTATACTGCATTGAACAGATGAGGGAGAAAACTGTTTAAAAGGATATGTGATTGGGTAATATTGCCATGACAGGAGTCCAGAACGAAGGCTGCATAGCAGAGTGGACCTGGGGCGAAGGACTGTAAATCAATGAAGGAATTTTTCTTTTACTTTTCCAAGAGGGTAGTGTACTGGGGGGAGGAGGGTTGGGAGGGAGAAAAGTGCAACAATGAATGAATGGAAATCCAAAGTCTCTGTAAATTTTCATTGAAATTAATAATAAATTAAAAAAAACTAAAAAAAGCACAAAGAGCAGATATCTGATTAAAAATCATCATAAATATCTATAATCTCAGTGATCTACTACAGATAACATAAGCAGAAGCAAATAAAGTTCCACAAGGTCTTCTTCCAGGGTCATTCAACACTACTAAATGAAATTCTCCCTGGTGATGGCGCTCTAGTGGTGCGATGGGTGCTAACTGAAAGGGTGCCAGTTTGAACCCACTCAAGTGGCTCTAAGGCAGAAAGACTTAATCATGTATCTGCTTCCATAATGAGTAGAAGCTGTCTGGGAAACTCTATGGGGCAGCTTTTCTGTGGGAATCAACTTGGAGCACTTAATAACAATTACATAGGGACACAGCTGTTTTACCTCAACTTCTCCAAAGCCTTTCTCTAGGGCCACCTCCTATTCACCTCGGCCAGGCCCCTTCCTCTAGCTACTGTACCTCTAGTTCTACAGAGCTGACTAGGCACTGTCCCAAACACGTCAGATATGCTCAATTAATCCTCACCCCAAACCTCCGAAGTACTGCTCCTTATTTACAGATGAGAAAACTGAGGTACCAAAGGGAAAAGATAAAAAAATGTACACAGCATCCACAGGATCAGTATGGCTGGGGTTTCAGCCCTGGCAGTCTGGATCCAACCAGTGAGCCCAAGCCCTGCTATTCTCCCCCAGGTCAGGAATCCCGGGCATACCTATCACCCCACACCTGATGAGGTCAATGATGGCTGTGTAACAGACTATTTGTGGCCTAGGTGGTCAGTTACTCAGGATTTCAGAGCAGAAAGGGTTAAGATGAAGTTGTCCAGGAAAGCTAGAGGAAGCGGTCACATCTGATCTGATGAAAATCTGAGGGAACCTGATTTGAGGGATCAGCGGGCTTTATGGGGAGGTGTATCTTTTCCATAGGACTCCTTCCATGCACCACAGATGTAGACGGCAAGTTACTGGGCAGGTTAGGACAGAGAGGTGAAGGTGACCAGCTTGACCATGGCAGAGAGCAGCTGGAGAGAGGTAGCAGTGGGGACTGAGTAAGCCAAGTAGCTACTGTCTCCTGAGTTCTTATCCCAACGCACGGAAGTGTTGTCAGCTGCCATGAAGCGGACTCCCTCCCACAACACGCTGTGTAACAGAACAAGACACCACCTGCTCTTGCGTCATCTTCATGGTCCTGGGCACGTCTGAGTCCAGGCACACAGTATGTCCTGATTCACAGGGTTTGCAACAGCTACTTTTCAGATCACAAGGCCTTTCTTCCTTAGTTCATTTTGGTCTGAAAGCTTCCCTGAAGCCTGTCCCTGGCAGATGATACAGCTGACATGTGAAATGTTGATGGCACACAATAGCAACACGAAAGCCACCACAGTATAAGATCGATGGAGGAAGAAGAAAGGTCTCTGCCTCCACCTTACGGCCAGTGAAGGCAGCCCTTGCGGGCTAGGCACACAGGAGGATCCCGTGGCCCTGTTGCTGGCCAGTTGCCTTACCGGCCATTGCTAAGATTTAGGCATCCAGACTCAGTGCCTTACTTCTCCTATCAATCTTTCCTCCTCTATTCATTTCCCTTATCTCCTCACCATCTCTTCTTTTCTCCTTACTTCTTAAGGAAGCCTGTTTCCACAAAGAAGAAAAAGGATTTGAAAATAAAGCAGGGAGAAGCAGATGGTGACAGATTTTCTCAGCTTTGCCCCATCTGACCCAGCGATCCTCGTGTACCAGTGTCAGTTTCTGAATGGATCCGAGGCTGCAAGCCTGGTAGTGGTGCTGATAGACAAGAGTGTGTGGTTTTTACTCTCCTCTTCAGCTAATGAACAGGGACGGCAACCTTTCACGTTGTCACATGCGCCAACTCACTGCCACCCAGTTACAAAGCTCACTTCTAGAGAACACACCGCAGCAGCAAGGCTGGAAGGCTCCCAGCAGCAAGCATGGACGAGGGGCACACAGGTGGTTGTGATGCTCTCATACCTGGTCTGGCGTAAGGGGATGGGCAGTGACACACACAGGAAAGGATCAAAGGTGTTGCTCTGTTTCAGGCAGTGAGGGCAGGTCAAGGAAGATCTGCGAGGGAAAAGGGAGAGATTAAAGTCTAATCACTTCTCTTAGCACTTGGAATTCTTATCTTGTAGAATTCTTTTAAGTCTTAAAAAGCAAAGGCGTCACCTGTTTTTTAATATATACTAGTTTCTTTACAAAATTTGAATACATTGTTTTCCAGACCAGATTCTACCAATTTCCCTCACCACCACCTCCCCCCACCCATCAAATTGTACAACCCCATAATTAGTCCCTCACTCTCCACATTGCACACTTTGAGGACTCAGGTGTGCTGACTCGAGACATGGTCTTTCAAGCCTTTCATGTACATGTAAGATGGACATTGAAAAAAGGATTAGAGAGGAAGAAATGGTACATTTAGACTGTGGTGTAGGCAAAGAGTACTGAATATCCCTTTGGCTATCAGAAAATTAACAAATTAATCTTAGAAGAAATGCACAATCTGAGTGCTCCTTAGAAATGAGAATGCGATAAATCTGTCTTGATTACTGTAGATCCCACATAAGGAAAGATCAATTGACATCATGCTGGTAAAGCAGAGGATCAGCAAAAAGAAGGGAGATCCCGGTGAGATGGACGGTGTGTAATAACAGCAACAGTGGACTCCAACAAACAACTACCACTGAGATGGCTCAAAGGCAGGTAGCGTTCATGACTCAACGGCTCAATGCTAGTGCACTGAGAGCGGAGAGGGAGCTTTAAATCCTCCAATAGAAATGCACAGGCCCACTTGAAAACTAGGCAAGATCCCAGGATTATCTATCCATTTCCCTGGCTGACAGCACAGCTGTGTCCCACAATCATATCTTGGTGTAAGGTGCTGGTGGGTCAAATCTGACTCATTGCAACCCTGTGTGCAACAGGCCAAAACCTTGCCCATTGCTCCATCATCCTCAGAATGTTTCCCATGCTTTCAGTGACTGATGCAGTCACTGCACAACCATCTCCTGCAGGGTCTTCCTCTCCTCCTCCACCTTCACCTTCACCTCTCCAAGTGTGCTGTCTCCTTCTAAGCACTGGCCCAAAGTACATAAAGGTTAGTTTCACAATCACAGAGGATGATTCATAAATGCAGATGCCCAAGCCCTCACCCAAGGAATTCTGTTTCAGCTGAGGGCTGCTGGGGCCAGACATCAGCACTTTTTAAAGCCTTCAGGTGATTCTAGTGCTGGAGTGGAGAAGCCCAAAAAACAGGTGATTGTACAATCAAGTTCAGAAAATGGTTAAGAGAATTGCTCTCCAACAATTGGTTAATAACTGTTACTATTTAAACAGTGTCATTGGTTGGTCCTGCCTCATTTAGATATTGTGCAGAACAAAACCCTGCCGGATCCTGCACCAGTCTCACAATCTTCTGAGCGCGCATTGTTGGTATTGGGGTTAAGTGCTGGCGAGCTGAGTATGACTCACAGTGATCCTGCGAACAACAGATCTGAACCCCGTCCTATCCGGTGCCATCCTGAGCACACTTAGTAACATATAAACCCATCTGCATATAATGACCTTATGGAGGTGGTGGTGTTCTGGTGCCTTTAAGTTGACTACATATCTGTTGTTGTTGTGTACCATCAAGTCAGACTGACCCATAGCTGACCCTCCAGCAGGTTTCCCGAGGCAGTTAATCACACCAGAAGAGACTGCCCATCCTTCTCCCATGACACAGCTGGTGGAATCGAACTGCACACCCTTGAGATTGCAGCGCAGTGTGTTGCCACCAGGCCAGCAGAGCTTCTATGAACAACAGAGCTGAAACTTTCCCTTGCATCTTCATGATCTCTGACATCTTCAAGTCCATACTGTGTCAATTTATCTTATTGAAGGTCCTCCTCTTGTCAACTGACCCTCCACCTTTCTCAGCATGACATCTTGGTAAAAGGACTGACCTCTCCTGGCAACACACCCAAACTATGTGAGAAGGGGTTTCGTCACCACCCTTGTCACTCTGGTTGTACATCTTTCTCAGATAGAACTGCTGATTCTTTTGGCAGTCCATAGGATATTCAAGACTCTTCTCCAACATCACAAGTCAAGGCCTCAATTCCTCTCCTGTCATCATGATTCACTGTCAAACTTCAGATACATTGGAAGCAACTGAAAACACACCATGGCCCAGATCAGGTGCTCTTTATTCTTTAAACTGGTATTTTTAGTCTTTAGCATTCTGGAGAGGTGCTAGATAGCAGATTTTCCTAACATAACAGGTCTTTTCAGTTCTTAACTGCTGTAACCAAGGGTGTTAATTATGGATCAAGTAAAATGAAATCAAGACAACTTCAAGAATTTTTCCATCCATCAAAATGTTGCCTATTGGTCTAGTATTGAGGATCTGTGTATTAGGATCATTCCTATGTACAGAAGATAAAATCGAGGTAAAGAGAAGCAATTTGTCCAAGGGTGTATTGCTTTTAAGCGGCAGAGTTAGGTTCACGATCCAGGGTCCGGCTCATCATTATTCTTTCATATAAGAATCTTCTATAGGAAAGTTGGCATCATTTCTTCTTCAATAAGTTCTTTTCATTCACTATACTCATTTGTTGGGAGCAAGATGGGCAATCACTCATGTGACTTACCTCAGAAAATCCGTGTAGGGTCAGCTATGAAACAGTTCCACGTCAATGGCAATGAATATATGTTAGCGAGTGATGCTCCCTTACATGAATGTGTATCTTTGCTGTGTCCAAATAGAACAGTGCTCCATTGGGTTTTCAATTGCTGATTTTCAGGGGAAATAGACTACCCGACCTTTCTTCTGTGGGTGGACTCAAACCTCCAATCTTTCAATTAGTAGTCAACTACCCTAAATGTCCCGTCCTAGGGCTCTGGAAAAAATACAGAACAGTCTCATTTAGGGAGCTCTGGTGGCAGAGTCCAAAGGAAGTGGTCCTGCTAACTCAAAAGTGATGCCTCTTTGGTGGTTCAATCCCACCACTTGCTCCTTGGAAGAAGGATGGGAAGTCTGTTCCCACGTGATTTACAGCCCCCCCAAAAACACTGGAGGATCAGCTATGAGTTGGTTCTGACTTGACAGCAATGGGTTTGCATTCTGGGGTTAATCTAATTTTATAGAGACTGTACTGTTTTCATAATAATAAAACAACATCAAGAATATGAAAGATGTTTCTCAGAACGAGTGTGAACAACAACAGATCAGGAAGAGGAAAAAGAGGCGGCTTCCCTTAAACAGCATCAGATGTGACCAGACCACAATGCGTTCAATGTGGCCCGAGCGGCCCTGTCATCATTACTGTGCCCTCCAGAGCGTGGGTCCTCCCACCAAGTTCTCACTGGAGGAGGGGGAATCGCTCACCCCACTGCCCTTCCATTCACACTCACACATTTTCCAAGGTATCCATCCTCCTTTGCAAATCGCACCTGTTACAAAGTGAAGCTTGTCAATGGCTCCCAACTCTGAACAACTGCTTTCCACCAGGTGCAAATGCCTCAAAGGGGCCCAGGTGTGATGCCACATATTTTGTCATATGGATCTTTTGCTGCTGCTAAGTGGACACCTTCCACCTCAATCTTGGTCCCCCTTCACTTGCCCTCCGGACAGTGGATCTGGGATCCTGACAAATGGTGGCAATTATGACCACACAACAGGCAAGATTTCACCACTCCCTGATGACTCCTATATACATATTGTTTATATGCATATTGTTGTTAGTTGTTGCCGAGTTGGCTCTGGCTCATGTCTATCCATGAAGTCCACAGCAAAAGGCAGCCTGCCCACATCATATCATCATCACTGGTGGGTTTGGGCTCACTGTTGTAGCTACTGGCAGTCCATCCTACAGAGTTCGCCTTGTTTCAAAGGCCCTCTACCAAAGGGAGCTCCAGGCGGTTTGAATCCGCAGGCTACTCTGGAGAAGATAGATAAGTAATCTCCTCCTGTATGATTTACAACCTCAGAAAACCTCACTGGAGGGTCAGCTTTAAGTTGGCTCTGACTCAAAGGCACATAAACAACTACTACATTACCAAATTCTATGAACTTTGAGAAACGATAATAGTTATAGAAAAGCTTCAGGTCTTTTGTTCCTTGCGTTTCTTGAGTCGTATGAGTTGTGCTTGACTCAACAGCAATCAGCAACAACAGTCAAAAACACATCCTACCTAATCAAAAATGTTGCCTACATTGGAAGCTACATGTCAGGCTTTCTCTGAGTAAAGGCTACTGACTGCATGAAGAATACACACACACACACACACACACTCCACACACACCCACCCACCACACACACACACACACCTACCCACCACACACACACACTCTCTCTCTGCCTCCTCTAGTCATAACTTCAAAAGAGCATCAATCCTTGGCTCTTCAACTCCAAGTTGTTTCTTGTTGTTGTTGTTGTTGTTATGTGCCATCGAGTTGCTTGCAACTCATAGCGACCCTATGTACAATAGTCCTAAACCCTCCTCTATCCTATGCCAATCTCACTGCCTCTGACACATCCATCCACACCCCAGTCACTGAATCAATCCACCTCATAGAGGGTCTTCCTCTCCTGCGCTGTCCCTCCACTCTGCCCAGCATGATGTCCCTCTCCAAAGACCTGTCTCTCCTTACATATCCAAAGTATGTCAGGCGAAGCCTCAGAATCCTTGCCTCTAAGGAGCAGCCTGGTTTAACCCTCTCTAGGATGAATCTATTTGTTTTCTTAGCAGTCCATGGTACATTCAGTACTCTTCTCCAGCACCACAGCTCAAAGGCGTCAATTCTCCCTCTATCCTCCCTAGTCATTGTCCAACTCTCTGATGCATAACAAGTGAATGCAAAAACCATGGCCTGTATCAGGCACACCTTAGTCTCCAGAGAGACACTGTTGCTCTTGTTTCTAGGTTGAGGTAATAACTATTTGTTGTTGTCTTGAGTGCCACTGAATCAGAACTAACCCAGAGCTGGCCCTTCAGAGGGTTTTCAGAGGCAGTTACTCACACGAGAGGATACTGCCCGTCCTTCTCTCACAGAGCACCTGGTGGATTTGAATAACATACCT